GGGATGGTGTCATTGGAAAAAATGGAATCGACAAATGTAACAGCAATGGGCTACTATTACTGAAGACATGTGCGGCTCATGATCTGATCATCACTAATACCATCTTCCGCCTGCCCACTCGCAAAAAGACGTCCTGGATGTACCCACGCTCCAAGCACTGGCATCTCATTGATTATGTCATCGTGCGGAGGAAAGACAGACAGGATGTAAGGGTGACCAAGACCATGCCGAGTGCTGACTGTTGGACTGACCACAGACTCATCATCTCCAAATTAAGCCTTCACATCAAGCCTAAGAGACGTCCGCAGGGAAACAAAACTGTGATGAAAAAGATCAATGTCGGTAAACTGAGGAACCCCAACGCAGCAGCTTCACTAGCAGAAGATCTTGACAACCAACTCTCAGAGCTGCAATTAGAGGAAAATGCTGAGAAGGACTGGAAATGCTTCCGGGATATTGTGCACTCTTCTGCACTAAAGGTTCTTGGACCCTCACACAGGAAACAGCAGGACTGGTTTGATGAAAACGATGAAGAGATCAAGGCCTTACTTGCCGAAAAGCACCACCTTCACCGTGCTCATCAGAACGACCCGTTATCAACAGTGAAGAAGAACACCTTCAACAATGCTCGCAGGACTGTACAGAGCAAGCTTCGCAAGATGCAGGACTCCTGGTTGAGTGCCAAAGCAGATGAAATCCAGAAGTTTGCTGATAGAAACGATGCCAAACGGTTCTGCGAAGCCCTCAGATCCTTGTACGGACCTCAGCCTTCAGGGAGCTCCCCTCTACTGGACTCAGATGGTGCAACTCTCATTACTGAAAAGACTCTGATTCTACAACATTGGGCTGAGCACTTCCAATCCGTACTGAACCGCCCATCCTCCATCAATAACGAGGTGATTGACAGAATGCCCCAGGCGGATATCAACCACGGCCTGGATGCCCCACCATCAAAACCCTACAGGCCATCAACCAGCTGTCCAGTGGCAAGGCCCCAGGATCTGATGCGATCCCAGCGGAAGTCTATAAGGAAGGTGGTGCAGTGCTTGTCGACAAACTCACTCAGCTGTTCCAGTACTTGTGGAATCAAGGATCCATTCCTCAGGAACTGAAAGATGCATCCATCATGCACCTCTACAAGAGGAAAGGAAATCTACAAGTCTCTGATAATCACAGAGGAATATCTGATAATCACAGAGGAACTGCTCTCCATCGCAGGCAAGATCCTTGCACATGTGTTGCTGAATCACCTGACTGACCACCTGGAACAGGGTCTACTACCCGAGACATAGTGTGGCTTCCGCAAAGAGCGTGGCACTGTGGACATGATCTTTGTAGCCCGACAGCTCCAAGAGAAGTGTCAAGAGCAGAATCGTGAACTGTACACCATCTTTGTGGACCTCACCAAGGCTTTTGACACAGTGAGTCACGAAGGTCTGTGGCGCATCATGTCGAAGTTTGGGTGCTCTGACAGATTCATCCTGATGGTACGTCAGTTCCATGATGGCATGACAGGTCGTGTTTTGGATGACAGAGAAGCTTCAGAGGCCTTTCCCGTCACAAATAGGGTCAAACAAGGGTGCATTCTAGCACCGACCCTGTTCAGCATAACGTTCTCAGCCATGCTGACAGATGCCTTTCAGAACAACTCCTTGGGAGTCAGCCTGAAATACAGGACTGATGGGAAACTGCTCAACCTGCAAAGACTCCAGGCTATCACCAAGATAAAGGATACTGTGCTATGAGACCTCCTGTTTGCTGACGACTGTGCCCTGAATGCTGGATCTGAGCAGGAAATGCAAGCCAGCATGGACAATTTTGCAGTAGCATGCGACAACTTCGGCCTTCTCATCAACACAGAGAAAACCAAAGTGATGCATCAGCCAGCTTCGAAAGCCCAATATCAAGAGCCCACCATCACAGTGAAGGGACAAAAGCTGCAAGCAGTGGACCAATTTACATACCTTGGCAGCACCCTTTCCCGTGCAGTGACAATTGACATCGAGGTCAACTGCAGAATCACCAAGGCAAGCTCTGCATTTGGCAGACTGCAGACCAAAGTGTGGGACTGCCATGGAATAAGCCTTGCTACAAAGCTTAAAGTCTACCGAGCAGTAGTGCTAACTACCCTGATGTATGCCATTGAGCCTTCGACAGTATACAGGAGGCATGCTAGGCAACTGAACCACTTCCACACAACTTGCCTCCACAGACTTCTGAGGATCCGGTGGCAGGACAAGGTGCCAGACACAAAAGTCCTCTCCAGAGCAAGCCTGCCGTCAGTACACACCCTGCTGATGAAAGCCCGGACACACTGGGCAGGCCATGTTGCAAGGATGCCAGACGACCCCATCCCCGAACAGCTCTTCTTTGGTGAGCTGTCTCAAGGAAAACGATCGCACGGGGGAAAAAAGCGATACAAAGACACGCTGAAAGCCTCTCTCAAGTCCCTGGTTATCGACACCACCTCCTGGGAGACCCTGGCACAAGACCGATCGACATGGTGCACGCTGATCCACCAAGGCTGCCAAACTTCTGAAGCCAGAAGGACAACAATAGCACAAGAGAAGCGAGCACTCCGTAAAGCCAGAGTTGCAAACATTGCAACAGTGGTGCCCACCCATGTCTGCCTGACATGTGGCAGAACACTCCATGCCCATATCGGCCTTATCAGCCACCTGCAGACACACCGTGGACAACTCACAACTCGTTAAGGTCCTTATCGAAAACAATGGACGAACATCATATTGTCTAAATATAGATGGTGGTTAGTGATAAAAGGGACTAGTGGACAGGAAAAAGTAATTGGGAGTTGTACTGCTCCCTCTTTGGGTACAGAGGACCATCTTGTAAATGAACTCTACACATCCGTAGTATCTAATTTGGAGAGATGGATATTTTATTGTCAGCTGTGCTCTGGAAGGTATAAGGCTACTGCAGTATTAATACTGAATATGTTCTATCTTTTAGCTTTGGACTGGGGAGGTCCTCGCAGAGAGTGGTTTGAACTGATCTGCAAAGTTTTATTTGATACTACCAATCAACTTTTTACTCATTTCAGTGACAACAACCAAGCCCTGGTGGGTATTTATTCTTCATTCATTGGTAGAAACAAGAAAGAGTATATCTGTGTCTTCCATTCAAGGGCCTATTTCAAGCATTCATATTCTTTTCCAAGCTCTATCTAGCTTGTCCTGTAGACAGAAAAGTAATTGGTTTGTCTTTGTAGTAGGGATACTATTAGGCATTTTAAGGGAAGGTAAAGTGCCACAAGCTTTTATTGAGAAATGATTATATTTAACACACAAATTCTTTGATTTGCTAGGATGAACCTTTTCCAGGCATTCAGTATGCATGGCGGGTGAATGTATGAAGAAATTATAAGAAACGCCCTATTTGATGCATTTTCAGCATCAGTCTGAAGGAAGACTCTTGAAAACTTGTTGGGTTTCCTCCATATGGACAGAAATAGAAATCCTGATTGAAAAGGGCACATTTTGTCATAGAGGAAACCTTATACACATAGAAACAGTCCAGTTTAGGTAGATTTGAATCAGTCATTGGCTGGGCTGTATGGCTAGAGTGCACAACTACATTAAAGCTGCTAATGCTAGTCCTATGTGTTCCCACCAGCTTCTTCACACATTTGGTACCTCAGATACTACAGGACTGAAGAGGGCTTTTGATTTCCTAAAGTATGGGAAATAATTTTTTTTTTCATGCTCAATTGTATATGTCCTTATATATGACTCTGCATGTACTTATACATACTGAGCTTCTTTGACATTGAATGTATGATTACACAGAGAAACCAAGCATTCAGGTGATTAAATCCTATGACATTAAGATAGTTCCTCAAGTTTGTACAGAGTTGTACATTCTTGTTTAGATTAAGAAAAATATTTCTAAGATCATATAGGGTTGGAAGGGGACTATAAGGCCATTAGGTCTGATTCCATGCTCAGTGCAGGACTCCAAATTAAAGCATCCCCAACAGATGGCTGTCCAACTGCCTCTTGAATGCCTTCAGGGAAGGAGAGTCCATAACCTCCATAGGTAATTGGTTCCATTGCTGTACTGCTCTAACAGTCAGGAAATTTAGCCTGATGTCTAATTGGAATCTGACATCTTGTAACTCAAACCCATTATCCCATGTTGTGCACTGGGATGACTGAAAAGAGATTCTGGCCCTTCTCTGTGTGATGGCCTTTCAGGAATTTGAAAGTGCTATCATTTCTTCCCCCCGTCTTCTCTTCTCAAGGCTAAACATGCCCAGATCTTTCAATCTTTCCTCATAGGGCTTTGTTTTCAGTACACAGATCATTTTGGTTGCACTCCTCTGAACTTTTTCTAGTTTGTCTATATCTTTCTTGAAGTGTGGTGCCCAGAATTGGACACAGTACTCAAGATGAGGCCTAATTACAGTCCAATATTGCATTAGCTTTTTCTACAGCCACCTCACATTGTTGACTCATATTCATCTTGAATCTACAACAATTTCAAGATCCTTCTCACCTGTAGTATTGTTGAGCCTAGTAGCCCCTATCCTGTAAATGTGCATTTGGTTCCTTTATCCTAGCTGCAGTACTTGACATGTGTCCCTATTGCATTTCATTCTGTTGCTTTCAGCCCAGCACTGCAGCCTATCAAGATCACTTTGAATTTTGTTTCTCTTAAGGCCTTTGACCAAATGTACAAGAAGACTGCATAGGGTTTTTCAGTATAGGTTAGCTTTAAGTGATTATTGGTGTCGCTGCAATATTAATTCTGGGCTTCCTTGTTTGCAGGTACACCCCAACCCCAACCGGCCACCTTCCTTGCGGTTGAAGGTGTATGAATTTGCAGGACGCTTGGTTGGAAAGTGTCTGTACGAGTCGTCTTTGGGAGGGGCTTACAAGCAGCTAGTGAGAGCTCGTTTCACAAGATCATTCTTGGCACAGATCATAGGATTAAGGATGCATTATAAGGTAACAAGACCTTTGTTCTGCTTTTGAGTATAAAGCAAAGACTAAATATGATTTTGCAGCACATACGAAATGTATTTTCTTTCCTTGCTTTCTCCCTCTTTGTTTTCCTATCAGTATTTTGAAACAGATGACCCAGAGTTCTATAAATCCAAAGTTTGCTTCATCCTGAATAATGATGTGAGTGAGATGGAGCTAGTCTTTGCTGAGGAAAAATACAGCAAATTGGGACAACTTGAGAAGGTGAGATGCATCATTCAAGATTATATATTTTGGATACCTTCCATCCCTAATGGAGTCAGGGACACTGTTTTAGTAGGAGGGGAAAGATGTAGATGATTCCTTATTGTGTGATCTATGAAGCTAATACTATTTTTTGTTTCCACACAAATGTTCTCACATTTTTTTTTCCAGGTGGTTGAACTGGTAACTGGTGGTGCCCAAATGCCAGTAACCAATGAAAATAAAATCTTCTATCTTAATTTGCTTGCACAGTACAGACTTGCCAATCAGGTTAGAGAGGAAGTTGATCACTTTTTGAAAGGTAATGTTGTATGTGGTCTTTTTTTAAAAACAACATTTTCTAAAATGAATTCAATTCAGTTAACTAGTCAACTCTACTGTCGTCTTCTAGGTCTCAATGAACTGGTTCCTGAAAACCTCCTAGCTATTTTTGATGAAAATGAACTTGAGGTGAGACTGCTGTTCTTAAGATAGCTGCATCGTCTTGGATTAATTTGAGATAGCTGGAGGTGGGAGGTGTAGGGAATCCCTATTCACGAGCACACTCACTTTTGTATTAAGTGCATGGCTTATCCAGAACGATTTTTATGAGCTTATTGCATTAGATTTCAGAAGGTGGTGCTGGGGGACTATGGCTCTGTGTCATGGCAGTTATGCCATGGAGTTCCGCAGGGGTCCATTTTGTCCCCTTTGCTATTTAACATCTACATGAAACCGCTGGGAGAGGTCATCAGGAGGTGTGGGCTGCGGAATCATCAGTACGCTGATGATACCCAGCTCTACCTCTCGTTTTCCATCAATCCAGGTGAGGCAGTGGCTGTGCTGAACCGGTGCCTGGCCAAGGTAATGGGCTGGATGAGGGCCAATAAACTGAAGCACAATCCAGACAAGACGGAGGTCCTGTTGGTGGGTGGCTCGGGATTCGGGATGGGGGACTTGGGCCTTGTCCTGAATGGGGTTGCACTCCCTCTGAAGGACAGGGTTTGCAGCTTGGGAGTGCTCCTCGACCCTGAGCCGTCTCTAGAAGCTCAGGTGATGGCGGTGGCAAGGAGCGCCTTCCTTCAGCTTTGGCTGATACATCAGCTGTGTCCCTTCCTGGAGAACGATTGCCTGGCGACAGTGACACATGCGCTGGTAACTTCCTGATTAGATTTCTGTAACGCGCTCTACATGGGGCTACCCTTGAAGACGGTCCAGATACTTCAGTTGGTGCAGAATAGAGCTGCCAGGTTGCTGACGGGGATTGGGCATTGTTCTCATATAACCCCAGTTCTCCATCAGCTCCACTGGCTTCCGATTGAAGTCCGGGCCCAATTCAAGGTGTTGGTTATGACCTATAAAGCCCTAAACAGCTTGGGACCTGGATATCTAAAGGAACGCTTGCACCCATATATGCCCTCCCACCCCTTGAGATCAGCAATGGATGTCCTTCTCCAGGAACCCTCTGTGACTGATACTAGGAGGGTGAGTACCTGGAGGAGGGCTTTCTCTGCAGTGGCGCCCCATCTATGGAATGTGCTCCCCAGAGAGGTCCGCCTGGCACCATCGTTATTTGTTTTTCGGCGCCAGGCTAAGACCTTTTTATTTAAAACTTATTTTAATTGCTAAATTATTGAATTAATTAGGTTTTTAAAATTAGCCGAGAATGCACCGGGGTTTTTTAAATGTTTTTTTTTCTTTTAAATTATTATATTATTATTATTTATGTATTTTTTGTGAGCCGCCCCGAGGCTTTGTTGTGATGGGGGCGGCATAGAAATGTTTTAAATAAATAAATAAAAATTGACAAAACTGAGGCTTATATTTTGAGCACATCATGAGAAGGCAAAACTCGCTGAAGAAGTCAAAAATGCTGGAGAAAGTTGTCATCAGAAGAAAAGGAAATCCAAATATGAGATGGATTGACTCCATAAGGGAAGCCACAGCCCTGAATATACAAAAACCGAGCAGGGCAGTCATAGATAGGACAGTTTGGAGGCCTTTCATTCATAGGGTTGCCATAAGTCAGGAACAACTTGACAGCACATAACAACAGTAAGCTCTTTCCTTCCCTCTCCTCTTAATGAAAAGGGAACCATTTGTTGGTTCCATGGGCTCAGCACTGCAAAAGCTCCTTCCCAGCCACATTAACTGTTAGCCTCTTTTTACTCTGTGCCTTCTCCCACTGCCCCGTCTACTATCTCTGTTGTTTTCAGGTTGCACAAACTGGTAGCAAATATCCTTTCAATGGACACCAGCAGGAATACTAGTCTATCAAACATAATGCTTTTGTTTCTTATAAATCAAATTGTGAGCAGAAAGCTACAACTCTAGGATAATATGTCACTATAGAGATCTAATGTTTTACATTGTTTTATGTTGTAGTCAATTAGAGGTTGTTTTTTTGTAACTAGACATCTATATGTTGCTAGTCATGAAGTGTCCGACCCATCGCAACCCCATGGACAACATTCCTCCAGGCCTTCCTGTCCTCCACCATCCTCCAGAGTCCATGCAAGCTCACACCAACTGCCTCAGTGACTCCATCTAGCCACCTCATCCTCTGCCATCCCCTTCTTCTTTTGCCATCTATTGTTCCCAGCATTAGACTCTTCTCCAGGGAGTCCTTCCTTCTCATTAGGTGGCCAAAGTATTTGAGTTTCATCTTCAGTATCTGGCCTTCTAACAAGCAGTCTATATACTTCTGGTTAAATGCTTGAAAATAATGTTGGGCACAATGCTATCCCTGTTGGCATAGAAGGAGTCCTACAGTGAGCCAGTGTGGTGTAGTGGTTAAGAGCATGGGACTGGGACTCAGATGATCTGTGTTCTAGTCCTTGCTCAGCCATGGAGCCAACTGGGTGACTTTGGGCCAGTCACAGACTCTTAGCCCAACCTACCTCACAGGGTTGTTGTTGTGGGGATAAGATGGAGGAGGAGAATGATGTAAGCTGCCTTGAGCCCTTTGTAGGAAAAAGGCAGGATATAAATCGAAAAATAAAATAAATACAGTGCCTTTTTATTTTTGAGTAGTCTTTCATATACTTTTCTATACCTTCTGAGTGAAGAATTTTAGGTGGTCAACTGGTTCTGTAGTAGAGCAGCTAGCTCCTCTTAGTTTATATTGTGTACATGCTGTGGGACTCTGGAAAGCTATACAAAGATGGATAAAGTCAGTATGTGGTGGGGGTGGTTATATGTTGTCAAGTTGCCCCAATTAATAGCAATCCTATGAATGAATGCCCTCCAGAATGTCCTGTCTTTGACAGCACAGCTCAGTTTGTGTAAATTCAAGGTTCCCTTCATGAAACAGATCCGTCTAATACTTGGTGGTCTTCTGCCTCCAATTTTCCTAGAATTATTTTCTCCAGTGACAGTATATGCAACTGCCAGTATAATTGGGCATTGTGATTCTTCAAGATTTCACTCTCCCTTTTAAATCCTCCCTTTCATCTTTTAGCTTATGCTGAAATTACTATTTCTCTTTTTCCCTAGTATCTTGTTTTATACAGTGTCTAGCAGAAGTATTCACCTCCCACTTTTCCATATTTTCTTGTGTTACAACCTGGAATTGAAATGAATTTAACTGGCATTGTTACCGTCCAATGTACACAAGATCCTCAACACTGCACCAATGCAAAATATTTTCTTGTGGCATAAAGGTTAAGTAAACAAAGCATATCGGCACTTGCCGGCTGCATAAGGACTTTCCTCTTTTGCTGTGATGTGCTTGAATAAGATCTGGTGCAGCACATTGCCTTAGAAGTCATTTACTGTAAGTAGTTGGATGGACTGTCCCTGACATGATTTCATACCTTTTTCTTGAAGCTCCAGTGTTTGTTGGAGAGTATATCTAACAAGCTGCATCAGAAAAACCAAGGAGCTGTCAAAACAACTTTGGAACAAAGTTGAGAAGAAGCTCTAATCAGGGTTGGGTTACTTAAAAAATCCCAAACGATTAACATCCTCCAGAGCATTGTTAAATCCACTATTACAAAATGGGAAGCATTTGCCTCAGGAAGGCCATTCACCAAAAGTTAGTGACTGGGTAGGGAGGATATTAGTCTGAGAATTGTCCAAAAGGCTAATGGTAACTCTGAAGGAGCTGGAGAGAGTCACAGCTTAGATGAGATAACCCATCCATGGGACAGCTATCATTTGCATACACCACAAAGCTGAGATTTATGGAAGAGTGGCAAAAAGAAAGCCATCACTGAAACAAACCCTCATCAAAGCCCTTTTGGAATTTGCAACAAGACATATGGGAGACACAGCAAGCACATGGAAAAATGTTCTCTAGTCTAATAAGATCAAAATTGAATTTTTTTGGCTTTACTGCAAAACGCTCTATTGCTGCAAGGCCAACAGTGCTCATTGACCATCCCCATGGTCAAGCATGGAGATGGCAGCTCATGTTGTGGGATGCTTATCCTCAACAGGGACTGGGAAACTGGTCAGGACTGAGGGCAAAATGGATGTAGCCAATAGAAGACAATGCTAGAGGAAAACCAGTTTCAGTCTGCAAGGGCTATGGGACAGAGATTCACCTTCCCTGAGGACAGTGATCTTAAAAATACAGCTGAAGTAACGGTGGAGTGATTTAAAAACAAGAAGGTGAATCTCAGAACAGCTATGTCAAAGCCCAGACTTCAATTGGATCGAAAATCTGTTGCAAGATTTGAAAGTTGCTGTTCATCAGTGCTCCCCATCCAATCTGACAGAGCTAGAGCAGTTTTGCCAGGAAGAATGATCAAGATGTTTAACAATAATAGAGACTTTCTTAAGAAGACTTGCTGCCAAGGGTGCTTCTACTAAATATTGATGGGGGGGGGGGTGAAGCGCACAAATGCTTGTTAACTTTTTAAAACTATTGTGCCACAATAAATTTCGCACTTGCAGTGTTGGGGATCTTGTGCACCTCAAGTGTACAAGCTAATTAAATCCATTTTAATTCCAGTTTGTGACACAATAAAATGTGGAAAAGTCAAAGGAGGATGAATACTTTTGCAAGGCACTGTACAGTAGGAGACTGTCTTGCTATGTAGCTTCAATGAATTCCTCTTGACAGAATATATAGAGTTACAAGTGTGACCTCCAACAAAATACTGCATGGTATCCTTAACTTCCCAATAGCATTCCAGCTAGCCATTCCTTCCAAGCAGAGCATTTTGCTCTTGTCTGCCCACCCTGGGTTCCATTTCTTTCCAGAAGGCACTTGAATTCTTTGGCTACTGAGCATTCTTTGGCATACTGAGCAAGAGCTCTCTCTTCTCTTGTACTTCTGTTAATCCCGGAGTTTCTCTAAGCATACCTCCCTCTTGTCTCTCAGTTTACTCTCTTTTTATTTGTGAATTTATTAGATGCTTCTCCTGCTCTCAATCTTACCTCACAACGACAACCTGTGAGGTAGTTGGGCTGAGAGTCTGTGACTGGCCCAAAGGCATTCCGTGAATTCCACGGCTGAGTGGGGACTTAGAACCAGACTGGCTGAGTCCCAGTCCTGCACTCTTAACCACTATGCCACACTGGCTCTCTTACGATATATACTTGTAAACTGAAAATTGGAGTTTACAGGTAGGAATTATATGTCAAAGGATTTGTCCTATCTTTATTGTTGCTTTTTGCTACATTCTTGCTGAAGGAGTGATATCTATGCTATTGAATTTGAAGTGCTTAAGAGGTCTGAGCTGATTGTGGTCACTGAATGATGTGTAAGTTGAAGGAAAAAAGTCTAACTCTTACACACTGGAACTTTTATTTTCTTTCAGTTGCTTATGTGTGGTACTGGGGACATCAGTGTCTGTGATTTCAAAGCACATGCTGTATTAGTGGGTGGTTCTTGGCATTTTCGAGAAAAGGTAGGTAGAATGAATTGCTTCATCACCTAAAATGGATTTATGTTGGGTGTTCTGATCATGACCAAGATACTGATTTTTTTTTGCAACAAAATAATACAGTTTAAATTGGGCAAAAAGGTAGACTAGTGAAAAACAAGATTAGGAAGAAAGTTTTCAAGCAAAGTCCATACTGATGAATCTACTCATCATATTATTTTCCTTTGGTCCTGTCCTGAACATCTTAGGAATACACTTTGCAGGTGTGCCCATTGCCCTTCCTTGCGTAGTATTCTTTGAGTCAGATTTAAGTTACTTAGCAGAAACAAAAAGCCGTGATGCTATCATTTTTTGTTGCTGCTATATTTATTTCAAAGAGAGAGAGGAAGAGAATCATATGAAACATAGAAACAGAAACAAAGAGTCAGAAGGGGTCTCCTGGGCCATCTAGTCTGACCCCTGGCTCCAGCCAGCTCCTCTCATGACATGCTTATCATCTGCATGTCCAACCTATCCTTGAACACCTTTGCCAGTGGGCTTCAGCTACCTCCCGTGGAAGCCCATACCCTTCTTCCTGGCACCAAATTGAACCTTGGTTCCCCGAGCTTTGCTCCATTGAAATGTGTCCTGCCCTCCTCTGCAGGGGAAAACAGGTCTCAACCCACCTCCATGTGACACCCCCTCATTTACCTGTATGTTGCCAACAGATCCCCTCGGAGTCTCCTCTTCTCCAGGCTGAAAAGATCCAGTTCCCTCAGTCTTGCCTCATATGGATTCCCCTGCAGTCCGGCCACCATCCTTGTGGCCCTATGTATGCTGCACCCATTCCAACCTGGCTATATCCTTCCTGTAATGTGAAACCCAGAACTGAACACAATATTCCAGTTGTGGGTGTACTAGAGTAGTATAGAGTGGCAGTAATACCTCTCTTGATCTAGAAGCCAAGCTTCTGTCTATGCATCCAAGGGTGGTGGTTGCCCTCTTGACCACTGTGTCACACTACTGACTCATGTTTTGCCTATGAGATATGTAGGATTGTGCAAGGACACAAAGAAACTTCATTGTAATAGTAGGAATTGGAGAGAGGTAAAAGTATGGCTTGGGAGATATTACTGTGATATCTATATTATTATCTGGCTTGCCAAAACTCCCAGTTACGAGTATATCTTTGTGCTGCATATTCTGTGAGAAATGTATTCTGGCGTTTTCCTCCTGTGATGTACCATTTGTCCTTTCTTCCATGAAGTCTTACCATGTCTTTCAGGTTATGCGGTGGTTCTGGACAGTAGTTTCCAGTTTCACACAGGAGGAATTGGCCAGGCTGTTGCAGTTTACCACTGGCTCTTCTCAGCTGCCTCCTGGAGGATTTGCTGCACTCTGCCCATCTTTCCAGATCATTGCAGCTCCGACACACAGTACACTGCCAACAGCCCATACTTGGTAAGTGGCTACTCAGGGCCTTTCTGACGGAGCAGAGTGTGTCTCGATCATTTGTAGGAAGCTTCTTACTAGCCTTTTTAATGTATCTTGTAGTGAATTATTGGTGCTACACTTGGAGAAATTTTAAAGGCCACTTAGCTGGTCATAGCTAATATTTATTATGGAAAAACATGAAGTGAGTTACCAGTGGAGCACATATCCTTTACCTGCCTAGGAGATACGTAGAATGAAATATTCACACACAGTAATTTTGCTATGTACTAGCTTTGTTTTTTCTTTCAGTTTTAACCAGCTGTGCCTCCCTACCTATGATTCATATGAAGAAGTGCACAAGATGCTGCAGCTGGCCATCAGTGAAGGCTGTGAGGGTTTTGGCATGCTCTGACTTCTCTCAAGAGGAGCCTGCTTAGTTTCCTTAACTGTTCAGGGCAAAGCCCAGCCCCACTTCACTGCTTCAGTCTCCTGCCCACCCCAAGGGTAGTGGAGAACAGAGTGGAGGCATCCTGCACACAGGAATGTCAATCTGCGATGTCACCTGCAGGCCCTGCCATGGCTGAAGGATATTACTGGGAGCACATCTCACCCTTTCCTTTTCCCAGTATTATACATGGAATGAGCCAGGGTTCATCTCTTGGGATGATATGATAGTTGCATTTCACAGGGCATGATATGTCTGGTTTTCTGAAGGAAGGAAGCTCATGAGCTACAGTTTGATATAGGAGAAGTTTTGTAACTTGCAATATTCTGGTTGTTTTGGGAATGAGTTGGTTATGGTGTGCTGAATCCCCAGATTATGGGAAGCCTTAATACCTTTCCATGCCTTGGCCCAAGTTTCACATAAATAATTCCTCTTTTTCTTGGATGGTACAAGAAGGCACGAAATCCCTCGCGCCCCTCCACCATTTTGCCCGCCAATTTCTTTGGTACCTGGTCCTGTAGGGCTTTTAATTCTCTTAAGATGCAGTCCCTGTGCATGTTAGCAGAGAAAAGGGTCATTTACCCCAGCCAATCATGCTGACTAGGGAAAAGTTAGGTATTGTAGGCCTTTTTTTTGTCTAAATGTGCATAGAATTGCACTCTCTGTCATCTTGCACTAGATGCTGCTTCCAGTTGTTCTTACTGGGGAGGGAAGACAGCATTTGATCACTTGAGCACAAGTGCTGGCCCTCACAGTGACATTGTTCTACCTCCACCAGGAGCTGGCAACACGATATATTCCTATAGTGGCAATGGCTTCCACTGGCCTTTGCACTGAACTGGAAGAAGAATTTCTCCTCCAACTGCTATTTCTGACAGTGGTCATGAACTTGGACAGGAACCTTTTTCCTACCACTCCCTAATTCCCCTTCTTCAGAAATGATGGATATATCTAAGGTCTTGTGCATATCCCAGCACTGAACCTCTTTGGTATTTTGAAAGCAACAGCAGTAGGCCAAGAGGCAGCTATTATTGTGTGCACCAGACATTTGTGTACAAGTACAATGGGTGATGAGTGTTGGGTAGGGCCTAGCACCTCTGTCTCTCTCTCCATTCCACAGAGTCTGGTGTACTACCTCTACCACATGGCAACAAGAGTATTACTTCTCTGGCTTGCTTTGGGCAGAGAGTCGTTAAATGAGGCATTCATATTTGTGCCCTTCTTTCCTTCTAATTGTCCTGTATTCTTATGTCCTGAGCATTCCACAATATTTTGAGAGGATTAAATTAGAGCTGCTTGATAACAGGCCCTGGAAAAGTGAGTCCTTAAGGCAACACATAGCACTACTCACTGTTCAGATCACAAGAGAGCAACAGTGTGAGCTGCCATGCGTAATGGATTCTTAGCTCAGAATTCTGGGTCCCTCCACCACCACCCATTTGCTTGGTAATAAAGAAGAGGGAATTCAGGGATCCCAGCTGGCAGTCCAGTCAATCTTCATCAGCAAAGCCAAAATCATTGGGTTGTGAACTGAGTATTTTGTTAGCACTTAAAATACATTTCTCCTGGCTAGGAGAGGCATGTTGGTGGCTGGTTACTTAGTGAGAAGAGCTTACAATGTAACTGCCTGAATTAAGGAAGTTCCTGCTCTCCACCCCTAAGGATGGAATCTCAGTAAAAGCAAATATTTACAAAATGCAGTTCAGTTGTGCCAGCTTTTTCCATCCAGACTTTTTGCCACTGATTGGAGCTATAGCATTCTTGAGATGATGACTGGACATGTCTGATCTTTTATTACTTTAAATGATAATGGATATGCACTTTTCAAAAATAAGCAGCACCACTTGCAAATTAGAAAAGATAGTATGCAAACATACTTCAATAGGACAACTTATAGACAGCCTATCACAATTGTACAGGTAGATGTTCAAGCCATTGTTTTGCCAAAAATATTAGAACTCTGAGTATTGGAACAACTCAGGTATCCCTTCCTTTGGGGACATTTTAGAGACTACCACTGTATTTTCTTTCATGGCAGGCATTTTTCTTCTTCAAGCAGTTGCTCTTTTAAATCTCACTGAACCAAGGGTGACTTCTGTAGCCAGTGCAATTAAGGCTTCTGATTGCCTTCGTAAACTACCCACTTCTCTCCCGAGGGTCCAAAAGGAGATACTGCTGTGCAACTCAGCCAGTTGATGGTTGGTGGGGTGCTGTTTGGTGCTGTTCCAGTCCTTTTGTCTTGTTTTCTGGCCAACTGAAGGCTTTTCCAGCAATGGCTCAAGGTTGGTTCTGCTACATCTTCCTCAGGAATCCCCTCCTTTCTTCTCTAGAGCTCAGCTGTTTTTATACTGAGGACTGAGTGGCTGGATATTCAGCAGACATTCTCTGCTTGAAACCACTCATAATAAAATGTATTTGGCACTTCTTGATTCTTGCAGATGCCAAGGATTTTCTTTTTACACAAGCACAGTCAGAGCAAAGGCGGATGCTGATACTTCTTAACAGTGCACTTGATGTGTACTGCTATTTGCCTCCATCATTAGCAGGGTCCATTATTTATAATTTCAGTGCAGAGGATCTTATTTTCCTAATCTTGCTTCTTGTTCTTTCCTAACCTTGTATGTTGCCCTGATTCCTATGTGTCGGCCATGGTACAGGTTGTGCTCTAGACATCTGTAGTGTGCATATGTGTATGTTCCAAAGAGGTTTCTTCCTTTTCATTGACCCTTGTTTGTTCTATCTGCTGTCAAGTGCATTGGTTCTCGGGAATAGAGGGTTAAGCTCAAGTATATTTCTATCCTCTGGAGCTGCTGTGGATACCACAGAACTTGGCCTGCAGCTGTGAATTAACTTGCATGCTTTAGAAACCAAGATCTATTACTTTAGCTTGGCCAGGACCTGTTTTCAGCTAGTCAGCTCCAGATAGAATTATGTAAGCCTCTAACATATGGTTCTGTAAATAGTTTGTACAATAAATAAAATATTTAAAATATAGTATGTTTGTTATTTCTAATACAGAGCTGCTTTGATTCGGTTCGGTTCTGTTGGCATTGTATTTGGTTCTTTAAATGATTTTTATGATGGCACATCCACACTAAGTCTGCTGGGCATGAACTTTGGCTTTAAATTCATTTTGAAACTTCACTAGTAAGGTAACTTGCAGTCATACCTAGCCATTAGAAGCCCAGTATTAAAAGAAACTTCTGCAAGCATTTTGCATGATCCATATCCACTAGATTTCAAGTTAAAAGCTGAGTTCTTCGTCGTGGCCTCTGTGCATCACACATATGGGTTGCTGCGCCTGCACAGTGCCTAGGCCGGAAGATTAGAAAGCTAACGGTTTTTGGCGGGAAAACTCCGCTCCCCTCCCCCTTTGTGGTATAAATAGAGCGGAGTGTCCTCCATTTTGCTCAGTCTTTGCGACTGTCGTTTGCTGTGCCTCGTGCCTGTTCGTCTCTCGCTATAGATCTGTGCCTCTTCGTTGTTTTTTCTCAAAAAGTTTAAACTTCTCTTGCTCTAAGTTTGTTCTTCTCCCTGATTCTGTCCATTTTCTTCTTGAATTCTCTCTCTCTCTCTCTCTCTCTCTCTCTCTCTCTCTCTCTATATATATATATATATATATATATATATATATATATATAAAATCTTACCCTCTGTACTGTCCTCTTTTGTTCATTTTTCCACGATGGCGCAGCAGGCGGCATTCCGCAAATGTATTGAATGTGGATCTAAAATGTCGCCGGCTGATCCACATGATCTATGCCTCCTCTGCCTCGGCGAGGGGCATAGGACCGACAAGTGCGGTCATTGCTTGGCATTTACCAAGCAGGCGCGGAAAAATAGGGAGAATCGTCTCAGAAAGCTCCTATGGGATCAGGCATTAATGCAGTCTGACCAACTGCTCCTACGGCCTGCTTCCTCTTCGCGCCTCCTCAGCGCTCCTCCTCCACCCTGAGCGCTCCGGCAAAGCATCCTTCCTCGACCTCTGCCGACCCTCCTCAGCGTCCTTCGGACGAGGGCGCTGCTTCTATGGGGGCGCAGTAGCTGCCTTCTCGCCCGACTAAGAAACGGGAGAAGTGCAAGCATACCAGTCTGGATAAAACTTCCACCCATAAGAAGGAAAAAGTGGATAAGCCCGCTCGCAAGAGCAAGAAACCTGACCACCCAAAACAACGAGGCTCAGGTTCATCGGGCTTTTCGGTACCGACAGCCACCACAGTACCGACCCCCTCGGGACTGGCCCTGCAACTCATTATGCAGGTGACACCACCAGGATCCCCCAGGCCAACCGCTCGGCCTGAGAGTGTGCCTTCCCAGCAACAGGAGGAGCCACTTCGGGAGTCCATCTCTGATGGCGAAATCAGAGACTCCCCACCGAGGGAACACTCACCGACACCCATGCCACCGACTGAATCTCATGTGGCCTCACCATTACCTCCCAGAGGTCGCAGCCGTTCATCCAAGCATTGAGATGAAAGTTGGTTGATTCCGGGATATGGTGCTCCCCCCGGTTGGGGTGGGTACCAGCCATATCCCTATTTCCCTTGTGAGCATAGATCACCATTGGTCCTGAGGGATGTGC